TGAAATGGCTTAATGTAGTTGAGTATTGTCCACGAGATCCTGTGACAAGGAATGCTTTTCAGTGCCTGAATGGAAAAAATACTTCAGTTAACATGCACAACATAGTATTAAAATGTGATGTGTTAAAGTTCATGTCTAAATAATGATTAGTGCCAAAAACTTCAGGCCAACCGACATTAGCCTTCTTTCTGAATACTTTAGCTGTCTCCTAAGTTGGAAATTTAAGATCACTGCAGAGAATTGAAATACATTTGGAAACTGAGCTTGACTTCAAATCAGTGTAAGGTTTACTGAGAAATGGGCATTTTGTAAAAGACTATATAAAACTGTGGCTCCCTTCTACTAAGTTTTCATTCTTGTTGAACTCATTCTGCATAGACAGCGTTGACCTTTTAACTTCGATAATATCAGTGTCCATGTATGCTGGGAGGTCTGTGCCAGACATTATGGTCCTGATAATAAAATGTTCTACATATGAACAAAAAAGTGTTATAAATATAAAATGAGCACCACCTTTCTTCTGTCTTGTTGCTTTAATATTTCTGTTAACACTAAACCAATATGAAGAACACCTTCCTGAGATGGAAAGGGGAACAAACTTCTAATGCCATTACTAGGGATTTGATATAAGGATAGTAAAGATCTCTAATTAGTAACTGGGTTTCCTTTCTTGTTTTTGAATGAAAGAACTGTGTTTAGAATAGGGATTGATTTAATAAAACCTCATTTTTAAAAAAATAGTTTTTATTTTTCTTGAAAAAAGATAAAATAAAGCATGCAGCTGCTTACTTCCTTTTTTGTAAATCCACATGGTTTTTGTAATCAAAAATCTTAGCCTTTGTCCCAGAAAGCTTTCTTCTGGTGTGGCCCTGCAGGTCCCCTTTCAGGAAGGAGGCAAGTGGGTGCTGGCTGAAGCTGGTGACATTCATTGTGTTTGTCAGTGAGCGCAGGACTGGGGAATGTGCCACACCTTGGGAAATGTATTGAGGTTTTCCCTAACTGTGTTGTGAAAAATGAATAATATTGCAAATAAATGTACAAATGGCCCTGTTAAAATAGTGTGGGACATTTACAAACGTTTAAAAACTTCCCAACCAAATGAGAATGTGCAAAATTGCCTAAAGTTCTTCAGCATGCTTGTTTTCCAAACTATGTGAAATTCCAATCCAGATTCTTGATGGACTAATGAAGAGATTGGATTTCCTCCAAATGACTTGTAGGTTAAGTATCGTAGTAACAAAAGGAGGCAGAAAAAAGGAATGACTTCTAGCAATTTTATTCTGTCAGGCTTTCTTTTGTAATGTGGGTGCTCAATCCATTGTATTTTGTTTTTTTTAATTCTCATTTCTGATGCATTGAGGAGTGCCTGCATCCGCAACAGGTTACTTTTTCACTGCACAAGTAAAACAAACCTAGTTTATACCTAAAAATGATGTAGGTTTGCATGAATCTATCACCACTGGGATGGTTTTCTGTTGTTGATGAGTTATTATATCCTTCTGGATCATTCCTATGATTTATGGCAATGTTGTGGCTTCACTGGCAGTTTCACTACCTAATTCTGTGAGTTTAAGTCCACAGAAAGTGTCACATGCTATGTGCTGTGTTCAAGATGATCTTTATGTCTGTTTATATCGAAAAAGACAATTGCTGGTAGCCAGTGAAAGCAATTTTTCTTTGGAGAGATGCATGCCGAGATGTTGTCTAGTATTGAAAGCAGTGATCTTTAGCTCAATTTTACAGGTATACAAACTACTTCAGTTTATTTTTGAAAGTAATATGCTGATGGTTATAGGAATCACTCAAATTATGATTGGCAAGTTTTTTTAGATGCAAGTTGCCATGACGTTAATCGGTACTGTGAGAGTGAGGCTCAAATCCCTATGAACACTCAGGAGAGGAAAATAGCTTTGGTAACAAAAGGGCAAAACCCTTGTCTGCTGCCCCTGCTGCTAATGAACTTCTCAAATAAGTTTTCTCTTGAAGTTAGGCAAAACCGAATGTGTAAAAATGAGGGACTTCAATTGCAGAGAGCATAGCTCCCACAGCCACCCTGAAGAGGGTGGCTCTCCAGAGTCCCGCCATAGTCCCCAAAACCCCCTTACACAAGGGCTGAGGGAGGCAACTGCCATCAGAGACTTGCTCTGCAGAGCAGTACTTCTCCAAAGGGTGTCTCCTGCTCGCTGTGGGGCTGCATGCACAGCCAAGGTGTGCTGTTGCGGTCTGTAAGCACTCTCAGATGATCTCATTTCCCACCACACTCCTAAAAAAAAGTATTCATGAAACTCTTGCTGTGTGGACGGTAACGTATTGAGTGGCTATCTGGCATCTAAGCATGCCATATGTCCCCAGAGGTTGCAGACAGCCATTCTGTAACCAGAATTCAGAGATGTCACAAGTGGCTGAACAAACAAATATCACTGGTTAATGGTTAAGCTCTCAATTTACTAAAGCATTTGTTACCAGTTTGCAAAAGAGATCAAACAACCATGAATCATAACCTTGGCTACTATTAAATCCTTTATTCCCTTCCCTCATCACAGAAGCATTTAATCTTGGGGAATCAGGACAGCCTGTTGTGCAGAAGTAGATTTTACAGCATAAGCAGAAACAAGTTTACTGTCAGGTTTCCTACTGGAGCTACAAACGGGAAGGAATAAAATGAGAATATTAACTTTCCCTCCTGGCATGGAAATTCATGTTAGCACTGACCAATGACTGATGTAAAATAGCTGCATTGGAAAATCATTTTGCTTGTATACTTTTGTTATTGCACTGAATGGTGAATATTACTTTCATTATCCAGCTGTCTTGCTTATAGATGAGACTTCTCATCTAGATAGAGAATGAGGGATTTGGTGTGCTTTACTAGCTGCCCCAAAATGAAGTATTTTACTTAGAAATAATGGACTGTGAAGAACACCCTAGAGGAATGAGGCACAAACAAAAATACTACAGGTAGTTGTATTGCAACTGAAATTTATTTCTATTTGTTATAAGATGTTCTTGTGTGTTGATGTATAGGATATATAGCTACATGACAGTTAAAATCTCACACTTTAGATATTTAATAGCAAATAAAGTGGTTTAACTTTTTGGCTCCCAACTCTGTGAAGCAGAACTTTGAAATCCCAAACACTTCATTTCCTTTATGTTTTGGGTAAGTCATCCTCGTCTCTAGCAGCAGTGATACAGAAAGGGCTCATGGAACAGAGACACTGAATTAGCATTAGCTAACTCTGTTCACCACAACTCAGTCCAAACAGGCAGTGATCCCAGGAGTGGATTTCCATTTTTATAACATGAACCGTGATGTTGCAGTCAGATCTGCATAAGCAGGGATCTAGAGGTTGTCTCTCTGAGAAAACTCAGTAAGGCATTATGAGGGATGGGCCTCCCTATACAGATCCAACTGCAGATTCAGGGATCGGTACATAATTATTGAGGTAAAGTCACATTATATAAATGCACTCACAGTCTTAGTGATCTGTAGACCTGTGGTGAAAAGCTGTATGTTATTAGTTTGAACAGCAACCATATTTTACGCTGTATCCAGACAAAGTAATCTTTTGTGTCATTGCTAAATCTGAACAATTTCTGTAACAGAAAGAAACCACCTGAGAGACAATATCTGCAAGTAGAAAATGAGGGCTTTTTTTGGTCCTCTTTTTGGCTTTGCAGAAAGTTATTTTCCCAGTAAAAAGTGTGAGTTTAAAAAAAAAAACACTAATGTCCCAGCTACATTTGTCATGCTGTTCAGAGGACAGACATCGCCATTTGCACAGGCAGAACTTCTGTTGGCTGGGGGAGATCTGTCCTGAGGAAATTCACAAATACTCGCCAAGTATACCAAAGGCACAGGCCTGTACAGAACTTAAATATGTCTTTTCTATCCCATAATGAGTATGACAGCTGTCAGGTTCAGTACAGACAGAAAGCACTACCTAGCGACATCTCAAGTTGCTGATCTATTACTATTACTAATAAGAATTTGATAAAGATAAAACATCTGGAATATGTAACTCTGCTTTTACTGCTGCTTCCCCAAAACCATCACTAGAAATTTGGGATGACAGATGTTTATGCATTTAAAAAGGAAATAAAGATTGTGCAATAATGTCCTGTTTTGATAAGAGTAATAGAATGAGCAAGTAGAATAAGTCATTGGCACAGCTTAAACTTTTGATTTGCTATTTTAATGATAAGGAAAATACATAATTTTGCAAGCTTTGAAAAACTTGTATTTGTTGCTCTTAATGTTCAAAAAAATGTCAGATACTATGAAAATCTTTTAAAGTACAAAGAACAGATTATTAATTTTTAATTGTGTTTTCAGTTCATATGCATGTGTATGAAAGGGAAATATGTTTGTTTAAAGACCTTTCAGATTATTTTGTCTTTATATACACTTAGAGTTCAGTTTTGGGATACATGTGTATGTAGATGTTGCATCCAGCTACCACAAGATCATTTGGATTGCTTAGCAGTCAATGACTCAAAAATCTTTTAAATGTTGTTTTAAAACAGTTTTAAAAAACAAATTCATGTAAGTGAAGAAATATATTGCACAGGACTTGGGGGGGGGGGGGAGGGGAAACACCCATAAAACCCCCCAAAACTGGATTTCTAAAGTGACTGTGTATAAAAGCTGTACATGGCTGAATATGGAGAAAATTGGTAGCTTTGGGTTTGGTGTTCTCTTGTGGAAATGAAACTGGGAAAGATGGTGGAGGTTTGCTTAGACATAGGTGGAGGTTATGTGGACACCTCTTTTTACTGTGAAATGTATGCAAACCTAGCATAGGTCAGATAAAATCCTGGATTTTTATAGCCTTCTTGAAATGTGGGGAAAGTCAACATAATAGTGTGTTGTGCTCCCAGGCTGAATTGCAACTACTTGCATTACACATTCACATGTTAGTGAAGCACTTCCTGCAGACTGTTATTGTCTGGATGGAGATGGTCTTTCACCCCACTCACCTCCCTCGTTTTTCCCACAGGCTGCGAGAACACCACCGCGCTGCAATTAAGGTGATTCGTAGGATGCAGTATTTTGTGGCAAAGAAAAAGTTTCAGGTGAGTTGTGGATAGAAAGCTCCTTTTCTAAATAAACCCTTTTATTCTCCTGATTCATTGCTTCTTTCAGAAACTTAAGAGAGACTAACATAATTCATTTCAGTAATGGTGAACTACACCCACCATTCTCTCCCTCCTTCAATAGGGTAGTTGTTTAGCAGCAGGTTAGTCAACTGTGGATGCACTGGAAGTAGGCTAAATTCCTGAAATGCGGTCTGAATTAAAATGTTGTTTTCTGCTAATGGACTTGACCCTTAACCCTCTGTTATCACTGTCTCTTTCTCTCAGTGCAAACATTCTCATATGTCTCCATTAATTCTGAGCTGTGTGTTACTGTCATGCCAAGTCAGTGGGATTAGAGATTAAAATACTACTTCAGCCTTATTTTTGTCTCTTACTCAATGATAATGAAGTCCTGATAAGAAACCAGCATGGAAATTTGTTAGCATATTAGAAGGTTTCTCCTTCCTTTTCCCTTCCCCCCTCTGCATAGAAGAAAGCTCCTTCCTAGTTTGTGAGATACTGGCTTTCCTTACTCCTCTAGCCCTTACTATCAGACATTTCCTGTGTGCCACTTCACTTCCTGTAACATTGCAATACTGTAAGCATTTAACAGTAGTTAATTAACCTTGTTGCCTGGTCTCAATGAAAAATTCTGGCTGCAAACTTTCTAAGAATGTGGTTTCTAAATCAGTTTCATTAATCCAGTAAGAAAACATGTCAACAGCCTTCAGCTTGATTTAAACCAGGTGAATATATATATGGAAGAAATATATCACTTTACTTAAAATTAATTAATAAGGGGCAATCTCTGGAGAGTTTCATGACTAAAAAATGCAAAGAAAGATAGGGGCTTAACTGCACACATCCATTTTCATATATGACCTCACCACTACTGCTTACAATAGACTAAAAAGCTTTCTACCCTTAATCTAGACCCCCCAAAAGGGAGGGTGTCCTTTTTCCTACCAACTTGAAGGGTGCAAAGTTTTAGAATCAAAAAGATGATGATGCCTAACAGTAAGAAACATCATTGTTTCTTTAAGGCTATGCTTGCTGCTACTTCAAAACCACGATTCTGACTTCCACATTGAAATTTAGAAGGGCTGCCTGAATTCTTTAGCAATTTTCTAATTTGAATGTTTTTATTTTTACTAAAATTCATGAGCTAAATAACAGCTAAGATTGCCTGAGCTTTTCAGAATTTGTTTCAGTCATGTAGATTATATTCAGACTGTCATCATTAAGGCTGAAATCTCCCATGTCCAGGCTTTTCTTGGAGAGAGAACTTTCAGAAAGTTTCTGCTGGCCCATTTAATCTGTTATTTTTATTAAAGTAAAATTAAGAAAGGCACAATACCTGGACTACTTGAAAATAATTTTTATAGTTATTTTGTCGAGAAGCTCCTTAACAGTTGCTGGCCAGCGCTTGTAACTTGGCAAGGGACGTGGCCAGTTCCAGTCATGTGTCCACTGCTGTTCAGTGAAAAACTGCCTAAATGTGCCCAGTTCCATTAAACTTTAATTTATTCTCATTCTAAGACCTGACTGTGATCTTTTGTTCCATGGTAATTACTGAATCATTCCTCTCATAAATTTAGATCATAAAATATTTGCCATGGTATTAACTAAACTGCTTAGAAACAAGAAATCTACACGTTATATATCTACCTCCCAAGTCGTATTATTCTGAAAATGCCTTAACACTGTGTGCAACATTATCCACCTGGCAAATAAATGGAACTCCCCTGCGGCAGATGATTTGATAGAAGCTGAAAAAGCATTTGACTGAATAGAATGGGACTATTCAGTTCATACTTTAAACTTGTTTGTACTTGGTATCCCAGTTGCTAATCTGGCTTCTCGGTTGTACTCTCACTTTCACATCTGCAAAAGACCTGGTCCTGGCCATCTGCAAAATCCCTCAACAAGGTTGTCTCTCATCCTTCTTTAGTAGTCTTTCTTCTTCTTCCTGTGCTATCAATATTGGCAGTTAGTAAAGAACTAAAAATGCCAGATAGGTTGAAATGGAATGTATCTCGTGTCGCTCCTGCACACAAGTGATACACTGCTGTTTCTGTCAGAAGCAGAATCTCCCAATGGGAACATATGGGGGATATGTGATACTTGTCCATAATTTCTGAATACAAGGTTATGACCAAGTTTAAAAAGTTTGGAGAGCACCAAAGTCACATTTTTCAAAAGCATGTATGCACTGCTTTTGAAAGTGCATTTTGACAATGCACAAAGTCACCTTGAAATTCAAGCCACAAGGTGCTTTTGAAAGCTTCTCCTGTAATTAAGAAATAACCACTCTCATTATTCTTTCCTCAAAAGTATGTTGTAAATCTGCTTTGTTCTATTGTATGCACATAAAGTAGTCATAAGAAATTAATATGTTTAAACATGTGCCAAGTAATGACTATACAGTTTCTAATAACCAGTCCAATGCACTATCTGAAATTAAGGTAAAGCAGAAAATGCATTTTTAAAATGTATCCTTTAGCACTGATGTGGTCTGCATTGCTGTTTTCTCCTAGATGTTTGCCTTCTAAGATTTTTGTGTTTATATAAAATGTATCTTCCTAAAAGAAAATTCAGATTTTTTTTTTTTTTTTTGTTTTCTACAACGGGGGGGGGGGGGGGGGGGGGGAGGAGCAGGAGGGAAATTCAGCTGGATTCCATTGGAATGCTTAAAATTAGCTGGAACACTAAGCAAGGCCAGCAATTAAAAGGAGTATTTTTTAGAGATGCCCCTGAAGCTTTTGGGGAGGGGAAGCATAGGAAGAAGGGAAGGAAGAGGAAAATTTTGCAAAATAGATCCCGCCATGAACCCAGCATAGTTCTTAAACTATACCAGCTATTTGCAGGATACACCTGTATGCCTAAATTTGCCTACATACACTTAAGAGCTCAGTTAATAACAGGGGATGATGGCACCACAAGGACAAAAGTCTGTTAGAAAGCAGACCCTTCCTGTTTAAAAAATAAATGAAATGAATAAAAAAAAGCTAAACACGGATACAAAGAAATTTCACAGGTTATGAAAAGCAATTCTTTGTAAAGCATCACACTTGGGCATCTTTTCCTCTTTAAAAGAACAGGAGAAATTTATGCTCTGTTTTTAAGTCCAGGTTTGAACATAGTCCATATGATGGTGCCCACGTAAGAACCAGGCATAATATAAAGGATTAATTCCTTTTTTATGGATGTGTTTATGCTCTTGTAAAGTCTGTTGAACTGTTTCAAATTGTGTGCAAAAGATTATGTTCTACTAGTAGTTAGCACAAGTACTGCGGATCGGTTAAGGTGAATGGCTCAAACCAAAGTTCAGGAAGGGTTCTGTAGATTATAGGGAAAACAGTACTCAGAAGCTAATGGTTTTCCAGGCTTTGTTTACCCCACCTACCATAAATGAATTTCACATACTAGTTGTAAATCAGATGTCTTTGGCGTAGTCTAACCTTGCAACTGAATTTCAGAAGGAAAATCACCATACTCAGTTAATTCCACTGGCTGGATTCATGAGTAAATAATCTTTGTCTTCCAATTAGGAAAGTTTCTAAATGTCTTAAGACTTACGCACATGGGTACAACTGTGATATCCATCACAGATCCAGAGACCGGTGATTTGATTTGATTTCCCATTGTCATTTAGAAATCTTTTCTTTTTTTCTTCTTTCCATGTAAATTCTTCCTGTTGAGTAAACCAGTTTCCTCCTAAAATATGTTTTTAACTTGTGGTATTTTTTCACCATGGCAAATATTCTATACATAACACAAAATAAAAAAACAGGTTGCAGTTCCACTGATGCCATGGGTAACTGTTGCCTGTTTTGCTACAATTTCACTGGAAAATCTTGCATTTAGGTCTTAAAATTCATCATCTGATGTAATTTATTTGTCATGGTATGAATCATGAATTGTATGTGTAATTTTTCTAATCTCCACACTGGGCTGTACCAAGCAATGTAGTTCAGTGTCCTGTGCTTCAAAGGATGTTCTTCCCATTTTATTTGACTGTTACTTGGTTACATTTCCCAGAAATTCCCCTTGTGTGGATTCTCCTCTCCATTTCTTGAGTCTGTCACATGCAGATGCTAGGGAACAGCAACGGCCAGTGGTGCACATTTAATATTTGGTGCTGGCTTTTGTGCTTTTTGCAAACTTTTGTATATGATGGGTGAGATTTTAACTCATTTAAGAAGATTTTTTACATGAATATTGGTTAATTAGCAGAGGGACAGAAATAAAGAAGGTGTTAAGGAAAGCTGTGGGGCTGGCTTCTATTTTTTTTCTTCAGTACTCATTGATACCTCCCTGCTGCAGGTTTTTCTTTTCTTCCTTTTACAAAAATTAACATGTTGTCAACATCAGGAGTATTTTCTCTTGAAGGATCAGATTTCAATATGAAGTAATTACAGAATAATTAGTACTGCCTGTTAAATACCCTATGTTACTCAGAAATGAAGCTTCATTCATAAATTCTGTTTATCCCAGTTTTTTAGTTCTCATTTTAAAGGGAAAAAGGCAGTTCAGTAAATGAAAAACAGGAAGGCACGTCCCTTATCTTTCTACTGTCAGACACCTGCACTGGAGTACAAGTACAGCAGGAGAAAGCTCTGAGTCTTTATTCTTACTGAATAGCTTTTCTGAACCTGGAGTTTTCAAGCTGATCTTGCAGATTTGTCTCTTGCTTATTTTTAGTGCAAAAATAATCCAAGAATTCTATTCTTTTTTTTTTTTTTTAAATATCATGTTTACAGTACTAGTCCATGGAAAGACTTACAGGCTTATGCCATCATTGAACTGTATTTCTTTCTTTGTGGATGTTAGTTATGATTCATATCTGTGTAAGCAGCCTGGATTCTTGGGAATTCTTTGTGCACTTTGGGTGAATTAAAACAATTCCCAGTCCTGTTTAGCCTTCCGCTAGAGAGCACTTCACAATCACCCAAGGTTTGCTGTCAGCTTTGGGGAGTCTGGCAGGCTGAAATTTGATGAAGCAATATTGTTAAAGTAATAATTCCTAAAATGTGGGAGCTACCTCCCAGGCAGGTGCAGGGGACTGCATGGAGGAGCCGCAGCCTTGTTTTTATATTGTATGCCTCTTTCTTTTTACTTAAAAATGAACGTATTTGTGGCATGGACTTAAGGAAAACCTGGAGCATGTGAAATAAGGTTAAGCAGTGCAGAGACATCTGCTTTTGATGTACAGGTGACAAAATATTTGAGTCCTCAAAGAGGGTATGTTAGAACCTACCACCGTAAACTCTTTTCCTTGTTCTGCAAGGGTGCAAGGAAGGAAAAATTGTAACTCAGTGCTACCAAGGCTTCTGCCAAACCTTGAAAATTATATACAAGATATCTATAGACAGCATAATGAATGAGTCAGAAATATAGAATTATCGAATGGTTTGTGTTGGAAGGGACCTTTAAAGGCCATCTGGTCCAACCCTCCAGAAATGAGCAGGGACATCTTCAACTAGAGCAGGTTGCTCAGAGCCCTGTCCAGTCTGACCTTGAATGTTTCCAGGTATGGAGCATCTGTTGCTTCTTTGGACAACCTGTTCGAGTGTTTCACCATCCTCATCATAAAAAAAGTCTTCCTTAAATGAGGTCTGAATCTCCCCTCTTTTAGTTTAAAACTATTATCCCTTGGCTTATTACAACAGGCTCTACTAAAATGTCTCTCCCCATCTTTCTTATAAGCCCCCTTTACTGAAAGGCCACAATATGGTTTCCCTGGAGTTTTCTCCAGGCTGAACAAGCCCAGCTCTCAGCCTTTCCTTAAAGGAAAGGGGCTCCAGTCCTCTGATAATTTTTTCTGTCCCTCCTTTGGACCCACTCTGGCAGGTCCTTATTTTTCCTGTGCTGAGGACCCCAGAGCTGATCACAGGACTTCAGGTGGGGTCTCACCAGAGCAGATTTGGAAAGGGAAGTCACCTCTCTCAACCAGCTGGCATGTCATTTATTGTTTCTGTATTGTTTGACTGATTTGATTAGGATATTTAAGAAAAAGGTTTCTACCAGTTCATAAGTTCAGGTGTTACTGTTTAGTCTTATGTGTGAAGTTTACATCCCACTCCTCTCTCTTGTGTAGTGTTAGAGCCTCATTGCAGCTTCTTATATGTAGCACTGGCATTGACTAGACTCTAGTTTCTAGATGTAAGATTTAGATATTTTTAATTTGCCACTGCACTGCAGTTGCTTTGCAGTTAGCTTTGGTGTTTATTAGTTAAAATTACAGTCTTTCTCTTTAATACTACACAAAAGTGATTTTATTAGTAACAGGTCAGATTAAGACTTTCCCATGTGTGAAATGCAGATTACAGACACAGGTCATTCCTTGCACCAATATTTTCACAGTATTTCCCGCTAGATCTGAAAGCCTGGTCAGTCTTTCTGGAAGAGGAAGTCACGGTCTTGCACCTCCAGCCAGGTGCAGGACTCTCCATTTAACCTTCCCATGGCAAGAGCTGAACTGAGAACTCCAGCTGTCTTGCTGCTGACTGAGAATAAGGGCTTGCATTTGTGAAAGGCCTCTTTCCTGTTTTGTGGTCAAGGAACATGAACTGTATTTCAGAAGAAACTAGAGTCACCACAAACTTCTGAGCAAAGTGCCGGCTATATTTTTTTGGCCTTGAATTCACTGGATAATCTCTGAAAGGCACGTAGACCTGCAGTTACACACAAAAATGTATGACCATGGGAACAATAAAGATATTTCGGATGTTTACACAGTGTTAAAAGGGTTTAAAAGAACTTACTGTTTACTCTTGAAAGAAAAAAATCGATGTTACCGCAACTGTTCCTACATCCTTGTGGCTTAAGGGCATGTGTTTTGGTTTTTATTTTACAGCAAGCTAGAAAGCCCTATGATGTCCGAGATGTTATTGAGCAATATTCTCAGGGTCACCTCAACCTGATGGTGCGAATCAAGGAATTACAGAGGAGGTATGTCCATGAAGTTCAGTGTCTGTACCCATAAAGACCAGCAAAAGGATGTTTGTAATAGGTCAGTGATTGGGGCTGGAGATCAAAAACTGACAGGGTTCCAGGTGCCATACCGGTAGGACTCTGCAAAGTTACAGAATACATAATGGCGTTCAACTAAATTCTTCACACAGGGAAGAAAAGAGCTTAAACATCTGATTACTGGGACTTCCAGTTTTCATTATACTTACGTGTATTGCCTCAGTCCCTCCTAGCTTTGACTGCACACTGCAATTCCTGTATCTTAGGAGCTGTACTATATATACAGAGATACTGTCACATGCTCAAGTAGAATTGCATTTAAGAGCAAACTAAGAGATGACAAGTGCAACAAGTAAACTGCAGAAGAACAAGAAAAAGAGGAAGCAGTGATGCTTGTGTGGAAAAGTAATGATGTGCTAAAAATTTGCAGTCATTAAAGACACTGAAGACCAGTCTAAGTATAACCCCATTTTGTTATTATTTTTATAATTTCTCAAAGCAACTCCTTCACTTACAGAACAAACCAGAACTCCTTGAACTTCACTTTGCTTGCTTGTGAAGAGCTAGAGAAAGTGAAGATGCTGGTTCAGGCTGATAAAAACTAAAATGATTCTTTTTGTTTTATAGGTTGGACCAATCCATAGGGAAGCCATCTCTTTTTATATCTGTGTCAGGTACATTAATATGAAGGATGTGTCTAATGTTAATCTGGTTAAGATATCATCAATAGACAATAATTGTTAAAATACTTTTTATTTTGTTGCCAGATTTTTAAACAGTGCCAACCGGTTGTGGTCTGAAGCTTAAGCAACCACAACAGTATTTAGTCATCAACACCTTTAAAATAGGCTTGTTCTTATTTAGATACTTTCAAAAGTGCACTTTCTGCTTTCACTGCACTTTTCAGAATGTTTGCTCTAATCTCTGTGAGGCTCACCATATTTTCAGTTAAATGGTGTGTTATGACTACAGAGTTCCTATGAAATCAGTAATATTCACACAGTGCTTTGATAGCTTTCAGGGAAACGCAAATAACCAAGTTTGTTTGCAACAAGTCTGGCTAATGAAAACATTCGGTTAAGTGTCATTTTCAAACTCATGTTTCTATGTAGTTTACGGGGCAAAAAAGACAAAATGTTACCAAATGCATTGTTTAACTTGAGTCTTTTGCGTAGTGGCAGATTGTTTTTAAATGGCAATTAAAACATTAACTAAATTGGGAACAGCTTTGTTCTCCTAGGTTAGAGCCTAAAACTAAGGTTGAAAGTGCCTGAAACTGAAGGGCTATTAAAAGCCATGGCTTGAGCAAATGCTATAAAAAGAAACAAAAAGCTGCTTTTAAGGAATATAACTGCTTTTAAGGAATAGAGTTATCAGCCTGGTAAAAGTGTTCAGTTACACTGTGTTGGTGGGCTAGTTAAACACAACCTGTTGTGGCTTGGTGCTATTTTGTTATACCAGCATATATTAATTTGAAAATGTTTCTTGTTCCACAGAAAAAAGCAAGGATCGAGGGAATAACACGATTGGTGCCAGGCTGAACAGAGTGGAGGACAAGGTAAACCTCAGTTAGACTGGCAGTGAATGCCACCATGGTCTGTGATTGAGCAGTGCTTGTTTCATAAGATGCGGTGAAAAATGCAGCTTAAAATAGAGTTGAATGTCTGGCTTTTCCAGGTGATGGAACACATTTTTTTGGCAGATTGTATTTTTGGTTCTCTCTTGTAATTTTAACAGAATAAGAAAAAAAAAACAACCAAGCCCACATACTTCAATTGATTTTGGTGTCTTTTGGGACTTGCTTGAGTCTTTTAATTGTGTATATTACACGTCTCGTTGCTCTGCTTCCTTCCTCCACAATAGATAAAGGGCTCTGTTCCTTTAATACCTCGGTATATTATGGTCCCTAAGATTTCCCTTTGATCATTTCTCTGTTGTTTATACAAGTCCACCTACAATTCCTTAGAGGGAGCGATAGCAAACCTTGTTCTATCTTGATTTTCATTCCTTTTGACAAATGGAGTTTCTTCTTTCAAGTGACGTGAAGCCAGAAAAAAAAATAGACTTGTTTTATAATCTCAAATTAACAGTTAAATGTCTTGTAACCCTTTACTTCAATGCTGGCTGTGCTTGAAAAATTAGATCACAGGTAGAATCTATGTCACTGTTAAAAAAAATAGATTTGCCTGTGTTGGTGTTAGGGAAAGAAAGTTAAGATAATTGGTTTGAACCCTTTACTGATCTCTTTCAGAGATTTGGTGAGGGGGTGAAAGAATTTCTTGAGCTTAGGATTGTTTCATGAATCCAAACTGTCCGTTCAGTATTAAGAAGTGAAAATTTTTCTTGAGGAAAAGAGCTTTCAGAGTTCCTCAACTGGAAGCGTGTGATAATGTCATAAAGCATTCATTCTGAAGAAATATCCAGCAAATATTCTGCAAACCAAAAGAGATGTGAGCAGCATGTCCCAAGAATGCAAACTGAGCACCCTGGGCTGTATTGATTCACTTGTGACATATCCGTTCCTTACATGTTTCTCCTTAAATACTTAAGAGAAATTTGAATGATAATACGCAGAACTGTACTTCAGTCTCTTGGAAATAAATGGCATTTCAAAAGGAACAGGTGCTTCCTGGTGTATAGGGTGATGTAGAAGATACAGAGGTACAGTGCATTTTGCAAGAAGAGGCACTGTGTAAGTGTTCTTACACATGGAAGCCTTTTCAAGAAAGTTTGGATTACATTTATTTCTTTTCTCTCTGTAATGTCAACTAAAAGTGTGGAACACTAGAAAATGTCTTGTGACAAAGAGCAATGACTTTTCAGTTTGGACAAATAATTCTCAAATGACAGCTCAACCAGCTTCTCAGTGCTATTTGCAAAATCTCTAACCAGCCTGGGAAAGCTTTGGTGTTGTACTGGCTCAGGGATAAGCTGGTTTGGGGTTATTAATTACTCTTTTTACATCCTTACAAATAAGTACACCATGAATTTATGGTGACTGTTATTTTATGTCTTGTAATGGGACTGTAAAACACTCTCTGTTTAATTTTAGTATAGCTGAGTTAAATTTTACTGTATTTTAAGAAACAGAGCCTTCTTTCTTTGCAGTTGCATGAGGCCATCTGTGGTTTCAGAGTTGTATGTAATCTGCCCTATGCAACTAGTCCTATCTGCAGGAATTTTCTCTGAAAGTAGCTGAAAGGCTAAAAATAGAGAATTTCAGTTGGACTCGGCAAACAGCAGTATACATGACAACACACTGGCAATGCTGAAATGATGTTTTTGCTGCAGCTGCAGAAGGTGGCCAAGCACAGTTTTTTGGTATTTTTCGCCCTCAGACTGGCCTTTTCTTTCTTGTAAAGTGCATGGTACATGGTATGCTTTCAGCATACAATTGAATCCTTCTTGAGCTGAGCACTATATAAAGGATAACTATATCAGCTGGTTTTTAAGGTGACTGTATATTTCAAACAGTTACATCCAGTTTGGTTTGTGAATTAGTTTTGAATCTTCTGAAGGAGAGATTTTCAGTGCTGCCGACTCGTGTTAGTACCTAACCACCTTTTGTGCGTATGAAAAATCTCCTTTAAGTCATTTTAAAATGAGCCATAGCCTGAAATTATTTGGAAACTCCTAATATGCAAGAAATTACACAGTACTTCCCATGCTACAGGAATAAGTTGAGTTCTTCTAATATATCTTTCTCAGTGATCATTAGTATTCTTCTTGCAGCAGAAGGCTGGTGTACAGTTTTCAGAAAGTTTTTGTTAAAGCAGAAAGAGAAAAAACCCTGAACTTCCAGGTTTTTAGAACTTTTGGGTTCCTCTGCCTGTGGATGTCTGCTGTCACCACATGTTCCGCTGCTTGTAGATCACTGAAGCAAAATCCAATTTATGTATATTCTTATAGGCTTTTGTGGAGGTGGATTTTAACTTGAGAAGCATTTACAAAGATAATTCTGTGTTCAAGAGTGTTTAGTTGTATTTCTGGGACATTATATCACTCTTGCAAAGCTTGTGCTTGTGGCACAAGTAGATGTTCTAGAGGCATATGTATGGCTGGCAGTACAGAGGGAAACTGGCATGTCAAAGGAACATTTTAAAATTACAATGCTTAGAGCAGTATGGCAGTATTGGCAGGAGCTATGACAGTTTATGGCACAAATCTGATTTTCCAAGTATTAAAATCAGCTAAAACAAAGCAAAAAACGTTTTCTTCTTTTAAATTTAGGAGCATGTTCATTTGAGGGAGAGAGTCCTGTAGAGTCTGTTCATCTTGTGTACTGAGTGAAACTGACCTTGTGATTTATACAGTTTGTGATAATGTAACTAAAGATTGTTTCCTAATATGCAAAAGCCAGGGGGATGAATCACACTTGCAGGAACATTCCTGCAGAGTCCTTCCCATGGAATTTTTTAATTTGGGCAAGCAGATGAAAAGGTGGTTTTGTACATGTAACTAGAAACTGCACGACCTAATAGTCCTTTGTTAAAAGAAATCACAATCCAACGTGTAATCACAGTGTATTTTGACTTTGCCCTTATTCTGCATTGCTTATAAAGCTGACGGCAGCAAATGCTCAGTTCTTCTAAACTGAGCCATATTGCCATGGCTGAGTGCAGACAGTTGCGGCACACGCTATGCCCACACCCCACTCTGTTGGGACACCAGCCAGCTTTGGTCCAGGAGGCATGTAACTGCTGTAACACAGTGCCCAGGCTGAACTCATAAACCCCGCTAAGTAGCAATGGTCCAAGAACATGCATGTAGATATGCCGATCCAGTCCCTCAGAGAATGTTGTTGAGCAGGATTACAGTGGCAAATCGATTTATTTGTGGTGACCAGCCTTTTCTCTTTTTATCTTGAAGTGTGAAGCCTACCCCCAAGAACCCTGGCCACTGCTGGCCTCTGGCCAAAGTCAAAATCAATTTTCCCAGATAGGCACAGCTGTGTGTGCACAGCACTGTTAAAGCGCACACAGGGAGCACTGCATGCCAATAGTTTAATTCTGAGTATGCCCAGCAGCTTGATCCAGGAACAAGCCCATAGCACACTCAAGAACTTCTGTGTGGTACATCTCCTCTTTTCTTTGCACTCCTTTAATTTTAGCTTAGCTATAAATGACTGTAATTCTAACTTTTTAGAGTAAATTAATCTGTTCTTTTTTTGACCTTTTGCTGACCATTAATTTAGATATAACAGGCTCAGCTTGCACTTTTCAGGTAATCATCTGGGCTTATTGCTTGGCTGCTCTAAGGTAATTAAGTCTTAAATATGGCCACCTCACAAAATCATCTGGGGCTAAAATTGGCTGTCCCTGGACAAGCTTTGGTGCCTACATACCAGGCTACCCCAGATGTCAGATGTGGACCTCCCAGAGTAGAATAACAGAACCTGGATTTACAAAATAAATTTTGAAAAGCATTCTGAGCAGTAGACATTATGCGTTGTTCTCTGTTACATCATTTTAAAAATAGGACTTAATCTTCCTCAGTGATTTGGACACTTTAAAACTTACCTTTTAAGAACAGTTATAGCAATCCAAATGAATTTTCTGGGTGTCCCTTCTATATACTCAGAACTATTCCTTTATGTGACAGTATAGTATTAAGATCAGTATTGCCAAGGTCACAACTAAAATCTTATCATGGTCTTTTTCAGTTATATAGAACATTAGAAGTAATGCTGTCTACTGCTAAATTTTAAGTTGTAGAGACTTAAATTGAAAAGATACATAGTAGTGAGACATGTGACACCTTTTAATGTGAATCCAAAAATTTTGCAAGACAGTATTCTTTCCAAGCATGTGCACCTTTTGCATGCCTATTAGCTGAAAACATGTATGCTTGTACTCTGATGAGTACTAACATAAAGAGCAACATTCAGAACTTCAAATATGCAGCACAGCACTGAACAGAAAATCATTTCACTTTTCCAAATTTAAAGCAGACAGCAACACTTTTAAAACCAATTAAAAAACAATCTATCATGTGAAAGCATTTACCCTAAAACAGATGCTAGTGTAGTGTTTGAGTTGCCTACTGGAAGTCTGAACTGATCTTGGAAAGCAAAACCAAAAGGAGTTACCTTCTTTGCACAGTTCTTCTGAGTTCTGGTTGTGGTGATTTGCTTTTCTGTCTTCCGTCTGCAGTGTCCTTGGCTGTTAAATGTACAGATCAAATGTTCAGCAAAACTGATACATTTTTCACTGTGAGTGCTGAGTATGGAACTTTAAAAGAGCTATGAGTACAAAGGCTTTATTTAAGATGGCTTTCAGAAAGTGGTGAAGACTGGTGTGTTACAGCATTTATCTATATGTGGTATGACGTTTTCTTCTGGCTAAATAATTTTTTGTAATTGTTTCACCAGAGCACTGATTCTATCCATATATATATTAGAAACCACTTTGGCTGGAACCTTTTAAATACAGTCCAGATGAGCAGAATGACCATTGATAAGTCTAAGTCCAGTTTCTGATTTTATTCTTGCTCTTTTCTGTTCTTGCTTTCTAATCAACTACTAGTTCCCCACTATTAGTGGGGCAAAAGGTTTCATGT